AAAATTGATCGAATTCTCCGTTCTTTGGAGTCGAAATATGCGCATCCCAATCAGCAAAGAAATGTTTTTTTAACGTTTTTTAAACGTTTTTTTTCCATTGCAAAAAACGTTTAATAAACGTTTTTAAAAACGTTTAATCAATGGGATAGATCCTTTTTTATTCATTTAAAAAAACGTTTTTTTAACGTTTAATAAACGTTTTTTCAACGTTTAAAACTCGTTTTTTTAATGTTTAAAAAACGCATTTTCAACGTTAATACAATGTTATTTTAACGTTTAAAAAACATTTTATTAACATTAGAAAAAAACGTTTAAAAAACATTTTTTTAACATTAGGAGAAACGTTTTTTTAATGTTAAAAAAAGGTTTTTTTAACATTAAAAAAAGATGTTTGTAATCTAAAAAAATTTCAAAATTTTTACACCCCCCCCCCACCGTACTCCCGAAACCGCTCGAGTGTAAAATCTGAAAAAAATATAAATCAGAGATACTTAACCAATTTTTGTATTGTATTTGCTAAATACTCATTTTTTTTTCATGTATAAACAAACATACATTTTTGTAATTTTTATTTATAAATACAAAACATGTAATTATAAAAGTATGTTAATTATATGTAATTATATGTAAAAGTTAGAATAAGTAGCTTAGTTAGAAATTCCCAGTGTCGCTATTTTCAGGGATCTATCTCTTCATTACCGCTTTTGGAAGCATCACTACTTTTACTTGCATCGCAATCATCGTCGCTTTTCGTATATTTTTCTTCATCGTCGCTGCTATTGTTACATCTGTCTGCATCACAATCATTGTCGCTTTCTATATCTTCTTTCTTATCGCCGCCGTTATTATTACATCTGTAATGATAAAAAATAAACGTGTAGGTATAAAATATTATGAATACGAATGCCTCATTAATCACACACGAAACAAAACTCACTTCTTTTTTTGTATCCGTGAGGGGGCTTGAGATAACCATGTCCCGGCTTTCCTGCCAAATATAATCTCATTAATTTTCGGGAATTTTTCGGCCACTATTTCTGTAAATAAATATCACATGAAGATATCGTGAATAAGATTAAATACATGTCTCACTTTAAAACAATATAAGTTTACCTATCATTACTTTGTTGATACGATGTCCGTTTAATTTTTGTTTTTCCCCTCTTTGGCCCTTCCAATTAAAAAGAGATGCTAATTTATCATCGAATATGATTCGCATGACCGAATTAATCATTCTTTGAAGGGTATCACCCACAACTTCTGCACGGAGTGATTCAATCTGAACATTTTAAAAAGCTGAGTTATTAATGTAACACGAAATATAAAATAGATGAAGTACTTATATTCTTACCAATCGAGAACGGTAAGTGTCGTCGTTCTTTAATTTTTTCTCAACGGCTTTAAATTCGTCCATAGTTAAGAGTGGAAATGCATCCATCAAATTTGAATGCTTTTTCGGTTGCTCGGTTGCAAAAGGTTGCTCTTTTGGTGCATTTTTATTATTGAGCAGCTCTGACTCTATAAAACTGTTAATAGTTTTATCTGTTACTTTCAGCATTACCTTGCATAAATGCAATTGATCTAGAAAAAAAAAACGAAAAAAGCTTTTGTTATCTCAATTTTGTTGTACATAAATAAATATAAATTCGATTGTAGAAAATCAATAACATTAAGAATAGTGGAAAGTGAACAAATGGAAAGTTGTTAAAGTTTTTAAAAAGATTTATAATTTTTCTGCAATGTAGGTCTTATAAGGAGATTGAGTAATTTTTTTGTTTAAAACTGGAAATGGGTATAATATTTGTTTATGGTTAATACTGATAATACATAAAAAAATATTTTAAAGAAATGTAATTTTTTTCTTCAAAATGCGCGTGGGTGTGTGCATAAGCTCCGAGAAAGTTTTAGTTCTTTTGTTGGTAGTCATATACAAAATATCTGACACACTAATGTGATACGCTAATATATTATTGATGTATGGTCCTCATTTTCTTTGTAAGAACATACTCTACCAACCATCGAAACACTTTATAAAATGAAATCAACATTCCAAAATTCCAATTCATTATTCCAATTCATAATTCGTTCAATGGTTGATAGAGCACCTCTCTGTAAAGAAAATGAGCTATTATACAACAAAATTGTTCTATCGTTTAGACCTGAAGTATGAAAAAATTGTCGAATGTCTAGGGTGGACTATTTAAAGCCTGACGAATTTTTATCTCGGAAACAAAGCATTTTAGAGAAAAATGTTTCACACAAAAGTTGTATGGT